GCACACGACAGTCACACTTATGCTTTTGCAAGTGACAAAAGTCTAATATCCAGTAATATTGCAACCCCCTCCCCCTCTTCCTCCAAGTTCAACATGCTGATATTGATCACTCAAGAGCTATTTCAGACACAAGTGAACTGTATATTATCATCCATATACAAGACAGTGGATAATTGGATGCTGAACATACCTGTACCTGGTGGTAGATGCTTGCCACCTTTGCCTTTCCAAGCGTCTTCAAAGCTTCCAAGTTCATCTGGAAAAATTTGTAGGAAAAAGAAAAGAAAAAAAAAACAAAGTTATTTTCAACAACTCACGACCAACTACCAGCTAAAGGGTTCATTTGCCGTCAATATTTAATGATCTTACCTTCATTCAGATTATGCAGTGTTTGCCGCATGTCCACTTTGCCATCTGAATTTAGCTTCCTAGTAACTGTATGACCCTATATGAACATGTTCAGAATAAATGCTTCTGTTACCACAATTTTTTTAATAAACTGAACCACAGATAGTAATGAGTCGAACAACACTAGAAACCAAAATCTAATAAACATCCATATATGAAGGTGATTGAGGGTCAAACACATACCTTGTCATGAAGTCCCCTCGAAATCCTGTGTGTTGCTTCACCTGTTCTCTTATCAGCCTCTTTGCAGTCTTCCATGATCATCTGGACAAAAGAAAATCGTTTTCTTAGTATCAAAGACATTAAATATACGTCACATGCAAAAAATTGAAAACACTTACTCCATCGCTTCCCATTCTTCTGGAAGCTGAACTAGTGTAATACACTCCATCTACACCACCATATGTGACTTTGCAACTGTGGACTTTAAATGACTGTGCCTGTGAGCCTCCTCCATTCCGGTTGTTGTCTGTCCTATAGTTTACTTGTTTCTTATTATCTGCCAAGTGCCAAACATTATAAGTGAACGGATGATATATAGAAAAGAAAGCTGCTATTGCTACAAGAAACCAATACAGATATTCCAATAGTAAGAAAAACTTTGCTGGATTTTTCATTTAAAATGTGAGTATGACTATTCTACTCGTTCGAACAGCTTAAAATGACAAGCGTGTCCTTTCAAAAGACTCAAGAACACAAGTAACAGAAGCTCTAACAGAGATAGACTTGAATTACCATCAGCTTCATCATCTGGATGATCAACAAAAGGCTCATTGGCAGGTCTAGAGGCATTCTGACTTTCTTCATCATTATCCTCCATTTCTACTTCATCATCAGAGCAAAGTTCCTTGATGGTAGGTCCACTTGGTGGAACCACTAGGGGTGACTCACGCAAAGAACTATTTGAATGAAACATACTGCCAAATGGGCGGGTGAAAAAGGGATCATCAAAAGGATTCTTCCCAAATATGGAACCACCAAAATCTCCAAAGTTTCCAAAACCACCAAACATGTCAAATGAATCACTCTGCTGACTCTCGTTCGGCATCTTTACCCTTCAAAAATACAAGTAACTCTTAAGATTGAGAAAGCAAGTTATGACATAAATAAAAATCAACAAATAAGTCTTAGAAAGAAAAATCATAAAGTAGAAAACTAAAGGAATCTTGCTTTTTACAGCAGTATCCTCAACTTAAGAACTTCATATTTAACGACAAGGCTGGGCTTAGAATGTTAGATCAGAAAATTGCCCAAGAGAATGAAAATAATGATTAGATGCTGCGACACTTAACTACTTAAGGAGGCATGGGCAGCAAGTAAAATTGGTTGAAAATTCTTAGACTGATAATATGTAAAAGACATCAAAAGTTACTCAACAAAACCAGTTTACTTTCAGCAACATATCCAAGGTTAAATTGCTAATTCATGGTCATCATGGACTTTACACTTAAAACTCAAATGCAAAAGAATAACTTTCACTCTTCACACTATGGCTGTTTCTACTCAAAGTTTGACACAACATAAATTTTTCAACCCACCCAACTTGTATCAAACTATTAGCAAGTGCTGTGAAACCCTTGTTGATTCTATACCTCCACCTCAAGATGGACAGCCTGGATATGTAATATTACTCTAAGAATGCGTTTGGATTGAAGGAAACAAAGAGAAGGGAAGGGATGGGAAATGAATGGATGGAGTATCTTTCATTTGGATAACAATGAAGGGAATTGAAAGGGGGGGAAATGAAGGAATTAATTTGTAAGCAATTGATCTCTCCAACAATGGAGAAATGTGGAAGGAAAACTCATTTTTAATCCCTCCCCTCCCTTCCCTTCTCTCCTCTTCCCCTCCCTCCCCTTCTTTTCCTTCCCTTTTTATCCAAATAAACTGTAAATCTTTTGATTTCCACCAAACTAAACACAAACACTTTCTCTGATCATTCTACATCTTTCTATTTCTTTAAGGATGTACTTTGTACTTCCACTCAAACAACACCGTCAACCGCATAAGGTGATTCACATACATTCTTAACTATAACTATTAGGAATTTGTTTATTCAACCTTACTCAGCAAGTCAGAATCCCCAGTTCTAAGTAATAATCCCTCTGGTCTAGTTCATAAGTCAATCTATCCTATGTCTTTGATCATTTTACATTGTCAACACCACATGCCAATTCAATACATGTCTCTACCAACACGACTTCAATTAGCTAATACAAAAAAAAAAAAAAAAAAAAAAAAAAAAAAAAAAAAAAAAAAAAAAAAAAATTACTGTGAAAAAATAAACGCTAGAAGGAGGGGTCGAACCTCCGACCTTGTGGTTAACAGCCACACGCTCTAACCAACTGAGCTATTCCAGCTTGTTAGTATTAAAGACTAATCACTATTAGAAATATGAGGGATGATTATAAACTTATCAGCACAAATTGACATTTATTTCCGAAATCAACCAAAAACAAACACACAAATTATGCATATTAACCAATCATAGAGCTAGAAACATCAAATCTCCTTTGAGATAACAACAGATGAAAGACCCCGGAAGCAACCACCACCATTTCAATTCGTTGCCTACAAGGATCTTCAATTGATCCTTTCTTAGGTGTAACTTTTATAATAGCCTTCGGCACATATGGCTTAAAGTTGCACACATCTAAACCTCTACAGACAAAACCGCCACCATTTGAAATCTAAACCTCTACAGACAAAACCGCCACCATTTGAATTCCTCGCCTACAAGGATCTTTAATTGATCCTTTCTTAGGGGTATCTTTTATAATAGCTTTCGGCACATATAAAGTTGCGCACATCTAAACCTCTACGGACCATGTTTTTGTAGGATCAACATCAGGTATTCAGGTTGTTATTGTATAACCACATCAATTAAATCACACTGCTAAATCACAAATAAAACCTTCTACGAAATGAACAAAAAAACGCTAGAAGGAGGGGTCGAACCTCCGACCTTGTGGTTAACAGCCACACGCTCTAACCAACTGAGCTATTCCAGCTTGTTGGTATCATCACCTAATTAAAACTTCAAATTTGCTAGAACGATGAAAGAACATACGAACTACAAGCATACAATCAACAAATTCAGACAAATTGCAACACAAAATTCTAGTATAAACTAATAATCAATTTTCTGCAAAAACTACTTCAATTCAATGAACTTCAAGAAAAAACATGCAAAACATTACAAAAAACAATGATAAAAAAATGCAAGCTTGTAATCAATAACCTCACACAAATTGCAACAAAAATTTCTATGAACTACAAGTAAACGAAAATTGACCTCAATTTGATGTTCTTGTTCACAGAGAAGCATGTAAAATCATTGAAATTACAGGATTTAGAACCCAAAATTTAAGAGAGAGAAAATACCTTGAAAGTTGAAGATAGAAATCTGGATTTTCTGGAGAATAGGAAGTTTCTGGAGAGAGGAACAAGCTCCTGAAAATTTGTTGTTCGAAAATGTTCGTATGTTTAATTGTTTATTATTATTATATATATCGCGAAAATAGTAAACGGAAAAAAGAAAAAACCAGAAATAACTAGAGAGAACGGGAAAATATTAGACTTCAACGTTACGCGTGTCACCGTTTTTGAATTTGCTAATATTTGGTATAATCTTGGACAGTTACAGTTACACTGAGGGCTGCGTGCTTACATTTAACCTCACTAGCATGTAAATATGTAATATCGGACTCAAAGGCTCGGACTATATTGCTACGGAGTACATTCAACAGGACCCGAAGTAGCCTGTCAATCTGTCATGGGACGAGCATAGATTGTTTGTATGGCGCCTGATACCTTGACTTGATGCATGTTAGAATTTTTCGTATGCGTAACAAAAAATAATAAAAAAAAAAACGCAATAATACTAACCTACACCAAGACACATGCACAATATTGCACATAGACATAAGTTGTCCTATATGAAAGACATATTGTGCTAAAGCATTAAGGAAAATGCTCAGCACATCAAGGTGGTCCAATGAGCAACTATGTAATTTGTTATATGTTGCACTGTAGAAATCTCATATATAAGGGTGGTTCAACACTAAATTAGCTTTAAAAAATATGTTAGAATGTGCAGTTAAATATAAGAATAATAATACCTGTATGATAGCTTAATAAATAGATATACATTAAATTTAGGTATACAGATAAGTATCTCTAGAGGATGAAAGATCGAACTATGGCCCAAAAACAACATGCAGCAAGGCCAGCAACTAAAATGCCGTAAATTATTTTACATAAAAGAACATTCATGTAAGTAAATAACCGAACAAAGTTCAGTTCTTCGTCATTGGCTCCCCCTTGCTGAGAAGGATTCATGTTATAGGAATCAAATCTGCACCTGAACCTTCACTTCTGCATCTGCACTTGAACCTTTTACTTCAGCTTTAGTAAAGCGGCTTTGAGTCTTGATTCATTTGCTCAAGTTGAGTTGGCAGGTGCCAGAGTACCAATAGTACCAATATGACAGCTGTGGTCATTAGCCGAGATACATGTAATGTAATGTAATGCAATGATTTAACTTCCAAGCAAATTAACTCAGTATGAAATCAAGAGGAGGCAGCAAAAGGTTTTATTACTCCGGCAGCTTAATAAACACCATACAGCAAAACATTGTCAACATCCGACGATCAGATTCACTAACCACATTGATAAACCTCAATATAACATTGCACTCTTTACACACCAGAAATTACGCAAAACAAACTGACATATATAAAGTTTTGGGATATGTTTACAAAAATGATCTGATACTGCCATTCTAAAGATGCCACAGCACAGTTACCGTTGATTTCACATATAAAGAGTTTGCAGATCTCTGTGAAGAACCCTGGTTTTTCCTAGGTGGCAAATCATATGATCTCAATACAATTGAAACAAAGTCCGTCCCTATTTCTTTAGAGGGTTCATCTTTTCCCTAAGGTAGTATAACTTGGCTCTCCTCACTTTCTTCTTATCCAGCACTTTAATCTCCTTTATGTTAGGTGAGTACCTGTTACCATCAAATCACAGGTCATTAATAGATGAATAATAATCTCACATCCACAAGTCACTATAATACTTGTATACTCTTATCTCATTTACCAGAGAGGAACAATGTTACGATGTATGAAAGGAAAATGCAACGGGAAAAATGTGGTTTTTGGGAGAGCCAGAAAAGGGAAGAAAAACACACACACACACACTAGAAAAGTGGTGGTTGGACCATTCATTGTGGATGTAATCCATCCTCATGTAGATTTTTCTAGCCCATTTTGTCTATTGGCCTGTTCGGCCTAAATCTTACTGGCCTTGGATGGACTTTCTCAGCTCGTAATAGGACCCAGCCTGATGTCTCAGGCTAATGAATGGAAAGACATTTTTTTTGGTATTGCCCAGCTATAGTGTAATAGTCTATAACTTGATGCTTTATAAAGTAAAATTAACACATAAAGTTTGTGGGATGAATCAGATATTTCATTTTGCAAGGAAGTATTCCAAGTTCACATACATTGGAAGAAGACTCTCCACCCCAACTCCAGCAACTAATCTTCGTATTCTAAAGGTTGAGTTTAATCCTGCATTCCGTCTTGCTATAACAATGCCTTTTATTGTAGTAATACGTCGTTTGTTCTCAGGAACTTCCTGTTTCCACACACCAAAGTAAAACATGTTATTTAGAGTTCCCATCCCAACATGTTAGCAAGATCAATATTTGCCTCCAGCAAATTTTACATACCAATTTGAGCTGGATAATATACCCTGGCTTAATATCAGGAATTTCTCTCTGTCCCCTTAACTCTTCAACTGCTTCTTTATCTAGAATCTGTTGACAGAATATTGGAAGGAACAAGTAAATACAACTTCCTCGTAAAAGACATATGCAGTGAAAGCATGCATACCTGCATAATGTGCCTAGCTGTTTTGTTAAGCCTCTTGAATTTTATGCGAGTAGGCACATGAGTTTCAGCAGGTGTAGTATCCTGTGTAATTGATGCTGCAGGAGTGCCAGCAGTAGAAAAGCTCCGGTGAAGAAAACCCTGAGAAAAAACAGCCTCATGAAAAGCACCAAACTTTGCACTTCCACTGAAGCAAGCTAACGAAGGTGCAGTGTATCCATGTCTTGAAGCACATTCATGACCAAGTTTCCCTCCCTGTGACAATTCAAATATAACCAACCCATTAAAACTTTAAACAAATCCAAATTAGAAAAAGACACATTGTAGTTTATTACCCTCTTATTGAGAAGCTAAGCAAAGAATTAGTGCTACAGTTAGCTACATATATTACGGTCAGAATATTCAACCTTAAAATGTATCATTATATTGAGCAAAATTAAGGAACGAGAAACTGACTTGCGTTAAAATTGGACATAGAAAAGGAGATGTGGCGTAGTTAAGCACGATAGAGTATTCAGACTGTTCATAATGGAAGTCTTAGAGTTATTATTAGATAAATGAAGTTTCACTCAAGAAAAAGAGAGAGAGAGAGAGAGAGAGAAATCAAGGCCATGCTTGGAAGATATAAATTATAGGGCATATGAATGAATTTGGGCCCTAAAAAAAGACATAGAGGTGATCATGATGATTCTTAATACTAAGTGGTGGAAGCGTGGAACCTAGGCGGTAGTCACCTACTAACCTCACCTACTACCCTCATTTGTGAGTAAATTGTTTTCTTCAAGAGGGTTGAGGAGCCTATTACCCCTTATCAGGAAATAATATTACATTATTACACTACCGAAATAATTTACACAACAGTTGACTAATTGAATCCCCCTACCCAAGAATTGTCAAGCTGTAAAAGAGATAATCTTTCAACAACTTCAGCTGCACCAGGCATAACATTCCCTTGGTAGGCAGGGTTCAGGACCTATTCATTACTTAGTAACTGCGCAGCTTCTATACCAAAAAATAAGTAGCCTTTACTCCATTAACAACCCCTTTGACTAAGAAAATTCCACTAGATAGAATATAAAGCTTCCATCATAGTCTGAGTTGTCAGATTTTTCTCTTCTTTCCCCAATAAGGAGAAATATGACTGTTACATGTAGACTTCCCTCCCATTCCACAACTCCCATTCCATCAAATGATTAGGAAGATCAGTTAGACTAGTAGCATGTAGCTTTTGAAGACTGTTTGGGTACTAAAATGGATATAAAATGGACATATCCATTTTAGCCTAAAAATACTTCGGCCCATATAAGCAACAAAGACCTTATAAGACCACAAGATACACCACAAGGGCCGAAGATCACCTACATACTCCGTAGATAGTTGACTATAGATACCCCTTTTAAGGGTGTGTGTTGGTTTAATGTATAATGTTTCATGAAAAACAATTTCCCAGTTATGGAAAATTACACTCCAAATGATGCAAAACATTTTTCTTTACAAAACAAGGAAAGTTACATTTTCCTTCCTCCTCCTTACCTCCTTTTAATTTGTAATGTGTACATGATTTATCTTGTAAGGAACCAAAAACTAATTGGCAATTGTGGTTTTCCATGATAATATGTTTCTATGAAAACTCATTTTTCATTGTAGATGTTTTACATCAAACCAAACGGGGCCTAAATACTCTAAAATAATCATTGTTTGAGCAATAACTTGGGCGTCGGAGGGGTTGGGGTCATCTTGCAGGTTCGTAGGCCATACTCAAGACCCCATTTTACCTCCGAAATTCTAACATAACCAATGCTATACAACCTCGAGCAATTGAATCAAGAAAATAAAACCAATACAACCCAAAAACACTAACATTCATAAATTAGGGCTTACGCACAAAATAAAAAAGTACTCTAAATCGATAAAACTATGCTGCTAACATTCTATTATTCATTAAAAAAAAAAAAAAGTGAAGAAAATAGAAGAAAAGAAGTTACCAAAATGGAGGAGAGAGAATCCGAGGTTACTCTGCATTGTGACCGAACTGCCCTGATTAGGGAGTGCATCTGAAATTTGTTAACAAAAAAAAATGAGCACTTGGACTACTTAATAGATCAATTGATTGATAAAAATGGGGGGAAATTGAAGAGCTACATTAATGGCGAGTAAGGTTCAGTGTGTTGGTACCTTAGTGAAGTAGACGAGGAAGTCTTACAAAAGCCCTGTTCCTAACTTTTGGTTCAGTAATTTTGTGTTTGTTGGGACTTGAGAGGATTTATCAAGAGGTCTAGACAGACCAAATTACCCCAGCCTCAGCCACCAAGCCGAGGCTGTCTCAGTATGATAAAGTACGGTGAAACGGTAAAAAAAATCAACAAAAATGTTAAATTGGACATTTTTATAGTAATATTAATACACTTGCCAAAGAAAATCTTGACTGATAAAAAATTTTAATTAAAAATTATGTTAAAAAAAAGTAATATTTGAAAGGAATGCATTGAGACATTTTTAACTAGTATTAGTAGTCTAGTACTAACATGAGTGTTTAATCTAATGTATAATAAAGCAGTAAAAGCACCAACAAAGATCAAAGAAGTGTGTAGTGCAAAACTCAAATTGGTATATCAAATGGAGTATCAATATTTAACTTATTTTAGGTTTATATGTTGGTTTTCATCAATCGAGTCATATCCGGCTATTAATACATTGATTGTTGAGTTGGCTTTTTTCTATTTGTATCAATCAGGTGAAGACGTGAAGTACTCCGTAATTTCGAGTTCGAAACAGGTAGTCGATGTGAGTCAATTTTTGCATAGTAATAAGGGCAAAACAAATACAGCACTCTAGATAGAAAATACAAAAATAGGAAGAAACATCTGGTATAAACAATTAAACATACTCCAAATTCTAGCAACTTGGCAAGCATCCGTATAAAAGAATCATTTCACTTTTTTTTTTACTAGTATTTTTTTTTCCCATTTTTTTTTTTTAACTTGTTTCCCATTTTTTTACTAGTATAAAAGATATTAGCCATGGGATTTAAATAAAATGAATGCAATTTTTTCTTTTTCTTAATTTTTGGCTTGCCACAATATAAACATCAGAAATTCCTGTATTACAAATCCCCTACACCCCCCATTATAAATCAGACTGTTAGAACTTAAAACATACATGTAAGAGGCACCCCCCCCCCCCCCCAAAGCTCTATAATCTACATTTTCCTGCTCCCTCTGAATATCGAACTTCCCCCTCTCTCTATTCATAATGTTTCTTCCCTTGGCAGCTTTTAAATTGCAGAAGCGTGCACGAGCTGACAGAAAGACCAGAGCCCAATTAATCCCCACTTGCTTGATCAAAGACGAAGGGGAGAAATTCTATGAGAGCTCAGAATCTATAGTTGTGAGGGACACTTCTGAATGCCAGAGATATAGAACCAACACGTCTTAAAACTCTTGTGCATCAAGGTCAGGCTTTGATGGATAATCTAGACCCTGAAGTTCCGGCATCCTTCGTAGATCTTCATCTGCATATGCGGGGATAAGCCAATACTTCTTGTCCGTTCCAAACACCTGTTAAACATCAGACGTTTACTCAGAAGGCTGCAAAAGCTTAAATTCCTAATATAGTAGTAGAAAGTATCATTCTGTTAAACATGAAGCATTAACTGACATGAAACCTATATTGACCCCATTGGGCCCATTCTTTTGTGTAAATGTAGGTTATACGCATAGTATTGCTTTCTCCCTCCCTACCCCCCCCCCCCCCCCACACCCCCAAGAAAAAAAAGAAATAGAGTAATCTGTTGGTTGAGTTAGTCAGGAAATACATGCACAATGACAATCCAGGAGGCGATTAGATTGGCAAGGTAATTCTGTATATGCTCAAGCTATCAAGCATAATATAATGAAAGAAAATCTAGAATACATTGCAATACTTGCATATTCATCGTCAGTTTTGAAACTCACTGTAAAATAATTTCAGACGCACAAACAAACATACTAACCTGCTGGAAATTTTTCTTCTTTCCGAGGTCATAACGCCACTTTGGGCTTGTCTTCTTTTCATATGCCTGATCAGATAACAAAGGTAGAAGCTGGTAAATAAAATTCCTTTTCAGAATAATCAATAAAGTAATAGCTAACATTGTGGTGAATCACATCAGAGTTGCGGAGGATTTTACATTTAACAAGAAGCAAGTTTGCTATCCTACTGTAGTGTATCCGTCACTACTCTTTTCTTCTACTAAATAGAGTTTTCTCCATTTTTCTTCCCTTATTTATGAGGGGGTAGAGATATAATGCATCACACATTCACACCATTGAACACTCGGATATGATACAACACAAGGCAATCAAATTAAATCAAAAACAGTTCACTGCCAATAAAAGTCAGAATCCGCCCCTTATAATCCAATTTCAATAGGAACCATGGGTTGACAGCATGTTCATTCCCCGAAAATTCAATACTGACAACCCAGGTAAAGTAGAGACCCAGAAAGCTATATCATAAAAGAAAGTGAACAAAAGCCTTATGGTGAAACTTTTCCCAGGCCACCAAAAACCAACAACATAGAACAACCTAATGGTGCGAATGAACTAGAAGCAAAAAACTGTAAAGATCTGGGTGTACAACCAAAAGAATTACAAAATAGTTTACCTCAATAGTAGTGGTATTAGCTGAAACCAAAGATATATGCATGATGAGGAATCCCATAACACTCAATGCGAATGCCAAATTCAAGACTGCAACAACCACAAAAAAGGCCAACTATAAGGTTCTATGCCATGTGAGGATATAGTATTAACAGAGAAAGAATAAACAGGGTTCAAAACTAAGTAGCTAATCAACCATTACCAAATGCAAGGAATGTTGTCGCAAGACTGCTTGGTGTTCCAGGTATCTCTCCATCACTAAAGAATGCAATAAATTGTGGCAGCAGTGAAATTGTTGCCAGAGTAGTCTCTAAAAACGTGTAGAACTGCATTTCAACAACAAACAAGCAAATATTAACTATATATATAAATAAATTAAGATCCTGCCCTACAATTAAAGATACACAGAGAATCATGTAAACAGATAATAATTGGTATCCAAACAAATACACCCTCAGAACATCCTTACTCTTGTTCGATGCATTCATCAATAAACCCTCTAAACTTGCACTTCAAAAAATTTGTCCCCTTTACAATTTCCACATTAAAAATCTTTGATAATTACATATTGTTAGCCTTTTAGGAACATATCTACTATTCTATACAATCGTAGATAATGAGAACCATCCAACATTAAAGCTTGTGATTTCTAGATAGCAACAAAACAAAATCTCATGCTACAAAGAAATAAACAACAATAACACCTCCCAAGCAGCAACAGTATACAAAAACCTCAACGACGGTTCTAATGCATGTAATGATGCAATACTAACTGAAGAAAGTGGAACCAGATAAGGGTCATAAATGGAAACATACCAGGAATAGAAGGAAATATTTATAATTTAGTGCTCCAACACAATTTACAACCCATACACAATGATGATCCATTTTTAGTACACACCTCCCACCTGGAATAAAATTTAGCAGCATGTCAAGATTATAACAAACTGGCAGGGGTCCATCAAAGAGATAATATGAACACAAAAGCAACGGCACTCACAAACAGAACAATGATGGCAGCGAGGAGGTTTCAGCTGGTTGCACTTTCGACAAACTCGGACTTTTGTATTAGATTGATCAGTTTGCACTCCACTGAAGTCCGACGCAGTCAATGGATCAATCTCACCTCTCTCCTCATCTATGGCAGGCCTCCAATTCGGGGGTACACACCCCGGATCAGTAAAAACAACAGAAAAGTAACTCCACAACAACATGGCTAGCTGCAAGTGGAAATCAAATTGTTCCTTTATTTAGCAACGTTTGACAAAAACCTAGATTCTTATAGCTAAGGCATTCAAAATCTCTATTCAAAATCACAAAAATAGAAAGAGATTCACCATAACTAACACAATTCATGGTACCCACAAATTAATTCAGCAAAATTACAGAAATAATCAGCTGATATAAAGTCAAAACCCCAAATTTCAACCTTACTAAATCAATCAAAAAAGTATAAGCTAGTTTTTCTCAATTAATGCAAGAAATCACTCAAACCCATCAAATTTAAACATCAATAGCACCCAAAGTAATCAAATTTTACGCAAAATTCAGAAAATTTAAAAGGGTCAAATCTGAAAAAATCAAAAATATTAAAGATAAACTTCAAAAAATCAAAATTAACTCACCAAACCATGGAATGGTAACAAAACTGCGAATGAAGTAAGAGTATCGAGACCACCATCGAATAAAGCAGGGCCATAATTGGTCAAAACGACGGCGTAATATGTTACACCCACAACCCCTAAAACGAGCAAGATCATGATCGAACCTAAACCCCTTAAAGCAGTACAAAATCTGAATACATTCCACGCCATTACTGTTCCAGATCTGTACATCACTCACAAAGAGAGATGGGAGAGAGAAAACTGGTGAAAAAAAAAAATCAATGAATTTTGATAAATTAATCAAATTCTTCTCTTTTTTTTCTGGGGCTTTTTTGTTTTATTCCTTTGAAATTTTCTTATTTTTTTCCCCAGTTTTCTGAGCTTCTTAAACTGGATTTTAATGGCGGAAAAATTTTTAACAGGGGTTTAACGAAAGAGGAGAGAGAAAAAGAGAAGGAGGCGCGTGGAAGAAAAGCGCCGAGATTGGGTTGGGGGAAGGTGGGGAGTTTGAAGAAAAAATTTGTGTTTTGGGGGGTTAGCTTGATAAATGGGTTATCGACACTATTAATATTGAAGGTGATTTATCAAAAGACTATATAAAATCTAGTTACATCAAATAAAGTGAATATTGGGTTTAGTATGGTCTTTTGAAAATTTTTAATCTCAATTTTTAATTTTTTAAATTGATCTTAATTTAGAAATTTTCAAGGTAATCTCAACTTTAGGACCCATGATGAAGTATTGTCACATTGACTAGAAATTTGGTTGTCAATTTAGAAAAATAAAAATGTAGAAAGATTGAAAACATGGGTTTATTTTAGATTATTTGTGAAATATATACTACATGTTAAATACGGAGTATACCATATGAAATAATTATTTATTTTATTTAATATATTATAAACGTAGTATTTGATGTTAAATTTGAATATTTTTTGTAAATGTAACTTTTTATTAATGAATTGATTTTGCCAAAAAAAAAAAAAAAAAAAAAAAAAAAAAAAAAAAAAAAAAACCCAAAACCTTCTCGCTAGTTAAATGTAAAATAAAATGGAATAATTAAATTCCAGAGTATTAGATTCATAAATTCAATCTAATGTAAGAAGCCATGTCTTATATGATCATATTTTTTTTTGTGTTTTTTTTTATCATACTTATTAGGCTAGGAGGGTTGGGGAGAAACATAAATAAAAACATTTATATTTACATGTCCCAATTGTCACTTTAACTTGGTGGAATAAAGCATGAACTTGGAATCTAGGCTGAAGGAAAGAAGAAAAAAAAAAACACAAACTTATACTTACTTGTGTTTGACCATAAATAATAAGTATACATTTACTTATAGTGCTAAATTGCATTCAAGATTGCAATTTGCTAGATTTGAACTTAAAGAAATTAAAATGGTCAACAATGTATTAACTGCAAATTCTTGAATAATCCCGGATTTTTTACGAAAGTAAGCTTAATTGGCAAACAATTTACCAATCTAGACGCGTGGCCAAACTATTTACGAAACTGAGCTTCTGACATAAAACGCTGCCTCGGTCAGCGTTTTACCTTTGGTTATTATTTTTTTTATAAAATTTCGTATTATGTGAAATACAAATTTTTAAAAAAAATTAGAAATACAGTATAACGCTGACTCAGTCAGCGTTTTTCTTGTATCCATAACAGAGAAAAACGCTGACTGAGTCAGCGTTTTACACCTAAGCATAAAACGCTGCCTCAGTCAGCGTTTTATCTGCTGGCTGAAGGCAGCAACAGCAGGCCCCCAACAGCAGCCAGTGCAGCCCCCTTCCACATCCACCACCCTCTCCACATCCACCAACACCACCACCCTCCTCCTCCACATCCTCCACCACCCTCCTCCACATCCTCCACCACCACCACCACCCTCCTCCTCCACATGCACCACCACCACCACCCTCCTCCTCCACCTCCACCACCCTCCTCCTCCACATCCACCACCACCCTCCTCCTCCAAATCCACCACATCCACCACCCTCCTCCTCCACATCCACCACCCTCCTCCACATCCACCACCCTCCTCCACATCCACCACCACCATCACCCTCCTCCTCCACATCCACCACCACCACCACCACCCTCCTCCTCCAAATCCACCACATCCACCACCTCCTCCTCCACATCCACCACCACCACCACCCTCCTCCTCCACATCCACCACCACCATCACCACCCTCCTCCTCCACATCCACCACCACCATCACTCTCCTCCTCCACATCCTCCAACACCTCCACCACCCTCCTCCTCCACATCCACCACCTCCACCACCCATCCTCCTCCACATCCACCACCTCCACATCCACAATTTATTTTGAACGAAATGAGTCAAACGTGGACAAATAAGGAATTTGAAATTCAAACAAGACATAAATTCATTCAAATAATTATTAAAATAATAATGTAATGTAAGTGTTATGTACAACAAATTAGAGAAGGTCATTACAGCAAATAAATCAGATAATTCTATCCTATTCTGACTCATCAATTTGGTGTAACGGCTCTCTATCCTGTATGTCCACTCTCAGTCTTTGACGACGGTTGTAGTGACGGACCGTGGTAAATGGGTTCGGGCGTACTGGCGGAGTCAGCTGGCTAGAAGATGGGTCATCAGGATGACGTAGGGGCGCGGAACTGCGAATGTCGTACTCCTCTGCGCCCGTGAATGACGAAGGATCACCCCTACAGCTACTCTGGCCAGCCTCGAACTGTGAGTGACTAGAGTGGCCGCCATGATCGTCCCGGGGGTGGACGAGATAGGCGTGACCATATCTCTGCAAGGTAGCCATGCCCATATCTCGCACCCGCTCGACCTGTGCTCTAGGCGGCTCAGGTATGCCTGGAAGGACGTCCGACAATGCGTCAACCATCGCCGTCATATCCAACGCCTGCAGTAATTAAGGATGAGTTAGTTGAATGATATACAAATTTAAAATTGATAAAAATAAGTTAATCAAATACACTTACATATCCCCTGATCACGTCAAAGGATGGATGGTAATGTGCGGATGGCGGTGTGTAGCTGGGGTTAATGAAACGTCGTGTAATCCGCATGTACCACTCCATGTATGGATCGTATGGATCCATAACGTCGTGGATGGGGTCACCAGTGACGACGAACTCCAACCGTCGATGCCACAAGTCAATGTACTGGGCATGCTCCGTCCGCCAGTTCCTGTCGCTCTTTCCCCGACGGTCAATGCGGTGCAGCCGGGCACTAGTGTCACACTGCTGGGGGACAGTCTGTCGTAGTCCAAACTGTCGCATGACTCGATCTGGTAGGTGACCCTCGACGACCTCAAAACAGATCAGGGGGACCCTAGAACGCCACTGCGCCTGATGATCTAGCAGATGTGGAGGCATGGCAGCAACTAAATCAGCTTCATATGGGTCCCATGTCATCTGCGATAACACATAAAAAGTAACATAATAAACAGGTTGGTGCATATTAAATATGTTAAGAGTATACATAATAAATAACAATTTCATAAACAAATTAAAGATTTCACCTGATCCTCGGTCAGTCGATCAAGGGCGTCTCGGTAGTACGGCAGGCCCCTCGCCGCATGCGCATATGTCAGCTTGGGGACCGCCCATCTGCAAGCGTACGCCTCGTCAGCGGAAGGCCGTGGTGGAGGAATGTACCGCTCATACTGCTGGTCCTGATCCTGCTGCCCCTGACGATGTATAGCAGGCCTACCTGGCCTGCCTACATGGATGTGCTCCCAAGACCAATACTGGACATCAAACACACAAAACTAGGTTAATTGTAAACTAAGTAAGAACTTTTCGAATTAAATTGTTAACAGATAGGTAGGTTACCTAAAGCAAAAATAACGGTCCGCTGATCTCACGAGAACCCCGATGGGATGCTCTACACAGATGGCGATACAACATCGCCAGACAAGCACTGCCCCAGCTGTAGCCACGAATATGCTCCCAGTCGTGGTCTACCAGCTGCAGGTAAATGATCTGTAAATGGCTGCCACTCTTGCCACCGAACAAGTCCAACACAGTAAATGGCTGCCACTCTTGCCACCGAACAAGTCCAACACTGCCCCATCTGTAGCCACGAATATGCTCCCAGTTGGGGGAGTATGCAAGTCCCTGTTAAGATCTAGCTTGAGATAATTCCCTTCTATCAGTGATAATTCCCTGGTCGAGTACTTTGTTGCGTACACGTAGACACTATTTCTACATATATCTCATGTGGATAACCCCTCATTAAAACAGCGCTCCTCAAAGCTTTCAAATGTCTATCGTTAGAACAAGGTAACACTTGAACCACATTATTAGTCTCAAACCTCATTTGAATGTTAAGTTGTACATTCATTCGGTTTAAGCCAATAATGCTATGAACCTCGTTCATCAGATCGTTGAAAGTCATGTCTGGTCCAAGTGGCAATGGTTCCATATTTCCACCACTATACTGGACATTCGGTCCATCAGACACAAATTCACCCCCCCATCGGCATAACAAAGTTGCGTTTTGTGCAGCCATATTCTATACAACAACCAAAAACACATCTTAATTGCATGCAATCTCCACCAATTCGCACAATAACAACCAAGAAATTCACACTACAAACATAGTTAACCATCATTGTTCCAATTCACATAACAACCAAAACAAAGTACACAACGAACATATTCACACTAACAACCAACGTATTTTACATAACATAATTTTCGTAATTAAACGACAATGTAGGCTATTTTATCAAATTAAAACAACAATTTCATCAACAATATCAACAATTTCATCAACATTTTCAACATTTTTACCAAACATTTCCACAATTTCATCATAAACTTTCTTACTAAACTAACATCAATTTAGGGCTTTTATACTAAAGTATTATCAAATTACAATAAACTAACTTAGAATTATCAACATAATTATCAATTTACATCAAACTAACTTAGAATAATCAACAACATTATCAAATTAAAACAATGTACTATATAATTATCAAACTAACCTAGGTTTTAAAATTTTAAAAACAAAGAGAAGTACCAACAATGTCATTAAATGAAGAGGAGAGTTTGAGAGAGAGTACCAACAAGGCGGCGACGGCGGCGACAGCAGCACACTTTCCGGTGGCGGGGAGGCCTAGTACAACGACGGAATATCCGTTTTAGAGAGTTTGAGCAAGTTTGAGAGAGTTTGAAGTAGAGTGAATAATGTGATGTCGCGGTTTTCTGTGACAATATATCAGCAAAAACCGCTGACTGAGGCATCGTCTTTCCCTTGTTAATGAAACGCTGCCCCAGTCAGCGTTTCATTGTATTTCATGTTTTTTTAATTTGGCATTTTAAAATACGAAATTTTTAAAAAAATAAAATAAAAAGGAATAAAACGCTGACCGAGTCAGCGTTTTACCTCTGAAGCTCAGTTTCGTAAATAGTTTTGCCATGCGTCTATTTTCGTAAATTGTTTTTCAATTAGGCTCAGTTTCGTAAAAAACCAATAATCCCGATGTAGTGTCAAACTGCATTCAATGTTACAATTTGCAAGTTTACGCCCTCTAAAATCCAAACAATAATCCAAGCCTTTTCGGTTGGGTCTTTTGTGGGAAGAAGTAAGAATTAAGAATCTTCATCTTCAAGAATTACAGTTAGGAGTGAGGATTCGACTTTGTGATGACCACGAACTTATAAGGTGATCCTGTTGGTCAAATTCCCAACTAACTATATCAAGTTTTGTTTAATTGGCAGGTCTCCCTTACACTTATGGTGTCCTAAGTCTCTAAGACCATAATTATAAACTTGTGTACACTAATACACTCCATAGTTCTATGGTATTACGTTACGAATCATTACATGTAACACCTTGTAATTGTAATTAAAAATCTATGATTTATCAAATAGTATTCCATCCATACTAGTGTATCATTTAGTTTTTGGAAGAAGCTATGAAAGTATTCTAATAATCTGATTACCTCATAGTTGGGTTGTACTTGTACCTTCTGTGATGTAGCATGTAGGTCGTTTTCATGTATTTCTCATTACTAGCTAGCTAAATTCCATATTATAATGTTATAAGTATTAGGTAAAATTTTATATACGATGATGTTGATGACACAACCAATCTGAATTTTAGTACTTACATAATAATCATTAATTTAACCAATAGATAGAAAGGAAGTTTTATATGGGTTGCGCTATCTCATTTATTATTACATGCTTTCATAAATTCTATATCATCAACATAATTTGCTTAGATCATATCTATCTTGAAGGCTAATAGGCTATATATGTTCGATCTAGAAGAAAGAAACCTGAACAAGTGTACAAAAATTCAAATCCAAAAGGATGACCCAATATTCCAAAATGTAATGCTCTAAAACAATTCCTTAAAAATGAAGTCTAATTAACTTCTAGGTGTTAGGAAAAGTCGTTTCAATGCTCAAGTCAAGTCAAGTTAATGATATCAATTATGAGTTCATGAATGTATCTAACCCATATGTAATAAAATACTTCGTATGTTGTTTTAGTGCAAATACATAAGGGAGTATAATAATAGATGAATGTTTGTTCAAGTGCAAATACAAAGATATACTGGTATAGTGGTATACCATGCCTCCATAATTTCTACATACATCATCAACATATATGCCGTCTGGGCAGGGGTGCTAATCGAGTTAAGCAACTCGGACTCGACTCAGTCAAAGCTCGGTCAAAACTCGGCTCGAGTTGGCTCGACTCGACTTGAGATGTTAACAAGCACGAGTTGAGCAAGCTCTAACTTGACTCGATAAGTTCGTGAGCAACTCGATAATATATTTTATTAATATAGAATTTACAAACAAAGTTATTAATATGAACAAATTTGACACTTAATAAGAATTTATATTATAAAAAACGAAAGAGTAAATCTTTAATAATAAATAAAATAATTAAAAGAAAACTATATAAAGTGAAAAAAAAATCAATAAAGGCGTATAATTTTAGAAGGGCCAAAATTTTAACGAGCAGATTGTGAGCCACTCGACTCGAAACTTTAACGAGCACGAGTCAAACAAGTTTTATTGGTTCGAAATATTAACGAGCACGAGTTGAGCACATAAAAAAGTTTTCGAGTCGAGTTGAGCACCCCTTAGCTCGTAATCGACTCGCTCGATTAGCACCCTATGCTGAGCAAAGGGGTCCTTGTCAGTTACAATTTGCTTCATTCTTCAAGCCAATGAATCATCTATGCAAAAATTTCAATGTTTAAGTAGTTTACTCGAATTGATATTGAATTTCATATGTGGCTTACAACTTATACTATGTATGAAAGACATTTCTTAAATAAGCCTCCACTTTTCAATAGTACAATCATGATTTTACTAAGATGTACTGTTTATCATTTACGTACGAACATACAATAACAATCATATCTTGACGCATGAAAAAGATATTGGAGTATGTACTAATAAGTTCGTTATGATTTTGTTTTGCCAGGATCCTAATACCAGTGATGATAAAGATTATTTCTCAAAGATTATAGTTCTATTATTCAATTTAAGCCCCTTATACGTTAAAATAATATTAAAAAAATTTAGAAAAAATAAGCTTAGACTAAGTTCAAATGTATCCTTACTTTGTATATATATACATACTACGTTTTTTTTTTTTTTGACAGGTACTTTATATAATTTCAAACGTGTACAGATAAAATAAGTTTAAACAAAATAAGCTGAGTCAAATAGATTCCAACCCTAAACCAATTTGCAACATTAATATAATGCATTTACATTATCAGCCTCACCTATTGTATTAATTAAGACCCCTAGCTTCATAAACCGCATTGTAATAAAAGCATACCCCAGTTCTTTGTATCTATATTTAATACATTACATTTTACTCTAATTTTTCTTGACAATAGACAAATACAATTAAACCATAAAAAAAGTATCACATATTTTTATATGTAGCTGGCCACACTGTGTGTCCAATCATAATAAGGGTTACTTCGTTAGTGTTATAGGGGTTACTCGGGCAGTTTTATAGGAGTTACTTCATTAGTTTATAGGGGTGTTATAAGGGTTACTCGATAAGTGTTATAGGGGTTATTTGGTGAGTGTTATAGGGGTTACCCATACAATGTTAATGAAGTTACTTTTTTCACTTACAATCGGCCACATGATATAACCAACCTCACACAGGACGAACTGAAAAGATATAATCACATAAATAATTGAACATGTTACATTCCCTCAATCCAATCCGATCCATTGACACACGTTTCCCAATCCTCAAACCCACGGACATTCCATCATATAGGCCCAATACAACACATTAATTGATTAGAGGTCAAACAAAATAAAGAAATCAAAGGAGTAGCGAAAAACTGCTCAACACGTCGTCAACGACTAAACGAAGAAAGAAGAAAGACAAAAACAAAAACAAAGAATGTCCCGCACAAAAATAACTACCTCTCTAACACCCCGCCTTATTTCTCGTTTCTCCTCATTTCTCTCTCTCTCTTTTTTTTCTCTCTCCTAAAAATTCCGCCATTGTTACCCATTCTTCCTAACACAAAACCTTCGCCGAATTTTTCAACAATGTCGGCGTCGGAATTTGACTTCGCCGCCGTTCGCGCCCAAAAAGGAGCCGGTGATTATAAGAATTTCCGCATGATAAGCCGTGACCGTGCGTTTTCCTCTTCTCAATTTACCTATTTGTGATCATTTGTTTTTAGTAAATCGATTTTGGTCATTTTGTTTTGAGCTTGATTGCTTAATTTTTCCAGCACTTGGTGAATATAATCTTGAATTTCATGTGAAATTGTTACGCGTAGCATTGTTTTAATTTTGCTGAGTGAATATGCTTCAATTTATCTGCGATTTACGACCTAAATTGTGTAATGTGTATCATTTGCCAATGTTTTGATTTGTCACGTCTAATGGTTAAGACTAAGGGCCTGTGTATAATACTAACAATTGGTCGCAGGTTCAAATCCTTTCCCAATTTGTAATTGTAATGCCCTTATGGCTCATTTGCACCGGAGTACTCCATATATTTTTGCTCAGTGATTTTAAATTGAGCAAAATTTACCAAATGAGTAAAAAAATACCATTGGGTGCACCTAGGTGGCTAGTTGCACTTTATGTGGTGCAATTGGTGCTTATACTTTTTTTAACCGTATTTTTGTCCAAGCACGCTTAGCACACATGATTTATGTGTGTATTAGGATTATTTGCTTGCCATTTCACTTGAAAGTTATGGTTAATTAGGGAATATAGCTTGTTTGTGCAATTGTCACAGAATAAAGAAAAATGGGCAGCTAGCTATTGCGAAACTCATGTTACATTAAGTCTACTTGTCATGATAGATTTGTCCAGAATGTGAGTCATTGCGATTAAGCTGATAAAGGAATTAAGCCATGTTTTAAGCCTTTAAGGTATAAGTGCTAGGTTGAACTTGATGATATCAGTTCATATATGTACACCTTCAAGTGTTCAACATGTCTCAAGTCTTTTAAATTTAAATCATTACTCGAAACATCCTTAAATTTATAAATTGTATCCCAAACTTCTGTGTTTATCGTAAGGATTTGACCTCATGTCCTTGTGACACTATGCCAGTTGAACTACTAATTCTTTAAAGTAGTTAACTGAACTATGCTATTTAAACATAGTTAGTTGTAGATTCATGACTCTACATTGGATGATTTCAGGGTTATTATACGAGATGCTTCAATCAACTTCCAGTGAATCAAAATCATGGAAGGTTTGTTTAATCCAGTTTGCTTGATTTTTCTCTGTAATACGTTTTATATATTAGTTTCAATATGGATTATGCCAAGGGGGTAAAAGTTCCAATATCTTTTTAGCTTCTTTTGAAAAGTTATCTACTCAGAAGACACCAAGGGATTTATGTTTGAAAAGAAAAGAGAGCAAAGAGCTAAGAACAATTAATCATCATGCTTCATGGAAATCATATACTCGTATTTTTGTAAATTTCTGTTAGTATATATTCTTTGTTACTTGGAAAGATTCAAGAACAGAAAGAACGCCTTCTAGGCTCTAGACCTGCTGTCTTTTTATTTAGCAATAAGCTACAAGTAAGGACACACTATAAGATGCTATCATGCATTGAAGAAATTGAGGATCAGAATTTGTCTGAGTCGCAATCAAGCAAAGGCAAATGTTTATGATTAAATTTGACCGTCTATATTGCCTCTGTCCCCTGAACTTTGAGCCTGGGAGGATTTTACTTCTTTACAAGCAGTATATCATAGTATACTGTGTTTTTCCTCATTACTTTTCTGCCCTGAATTAACAGTTTGAATTGACCTTTTGTGCACATTTAGGTTGTTTTAATCCATTAGTATCATGCATAGTCTAATAGCTAAGATATACAAAGACTATTTTTAAAGAAAAACTGAATGATTAACATAGATTATGATTAATTATTAGTCAAAATTTAGAAACATTGATTTTTCATCTGGGACAGTCAATTCAGGACAGGGGGAGTTTTTGTTATAGCTGTTCTGATTCTCTGTGGATTAACAAATACTTTCGTGCAACTATTGAAGCCCTTTTATCTATGATGCCTTTTTTTTTTTTTTAATATAGGTATTGATCATGGACAAAGTCACTGTCAAGGTTATGTCATCGTCATGCAAGATGGCTGATATCACTGATCAGGGGATTTCATGTAAGCTTCTTTTGTTTTACTGCATATAATCCAGGGATAATGATGCCGAATATGCTTTCCAAAGTTTTTTTTGAGAACTTAAATAGATAGTATATTGCAATTCAAGTGCATATGTAGAGAGTATATGGTTCTTTTTTCATCTCAGGTTTTCTGACTTCTAATCTAATTGTTACTACATCTTATTTCATTTTTTCCTTCACTTCTGGTCAATTTCTGTTCACTGAATATGATTTGAGCATCTATAGTCGGTGACGTTTGACTTTTCATTATTTGGATTTGTTCCAGAACTAGTCTTTTTAGTTCAAAATATATATTGAACTAGTGACTGAAGATGTTCAAAAACTAAATTCTGGATTACCAAATAAATATATTGCATAGGATTGGCATAAGTCTTGCCTGTTCTCCAAGCTAAATCAGCAGTGCAGAATGTATCTCTCTTATCCATTTTATTTCTTATACTAACACTTCTCCAATGCATTTTGACCAAGCACAAATCTTACCTATATGCTTACCAATGTGACATATCTTGGTGTTTGAAGACAGTCAACATTGAATTGATTGAAATTCTGAATATATTAAAGAAATTTTCTGTTCTTTTGTTTTTGGCTATCACACAAGCTCATAAGTATATGACAGCTTCGTATGGTAACTCTTATTGCATAATTTGGGGGCAAATATATTGTGCAAATGCTCATGCTCAGCCACTGTCAATTAATTAAGCTGTATCTGTGACTTCAGCTTACAGTAGTTTATATTGCTCTAATGACTGTTCTGTCTGCAGTGGTAGAAGATCTATTCAGAAGAAGGCAGCCTCTTCCCTCTCTGGATGCTATTTATTTCATTCAGCCGACAAAGGAAAAGTAAGCTTTTCTCTATTCATTTTTGGAACACCAACATATCTCGAATACTCAGTTACTATTTAGACTTCCAAAAGCACCCCCCCCCCTTCCAAATACTGATTAAAAATATGCTTTCTACCTGCAATTGTAAGTGCTGTTATATAATTAGGTCAATTTTGTTGCTCAACTGCCTCTTGATCGTGTTTTCCTTGAAGCATAATTAATTTTGTATCTGATCAGAATTTTCTTGGAAAGAATCCCGACTTTCTGACTTTTCTAAGTGATCTCCCATTAGGCTACATGGAATAGCGTCTGCGGAGACAATGTAATGATGAATTCTTGGAAATTTACTAAAAGAAGAAACTCCCTAGAACCAAAATAATTTGGGGAGTTTGCTTTGTGGAGTTTGCCTTTTTCAATCACATAAAAGTCAATTCTGTGAGCAACCTACTTTTTTAGAAGATTGCAAAGAAAGTGCTATAGATTACATTTCAAGATATGTGGTGGTCAAGTGGTTGCCAAAGGCTTTGGGATCTTGTCTTTCAGATTTCCTAATGGCTTGGGGGCAAAGAATTTGCCAGACTTACTATTTTCATGTTGCTTTATGTGATGGGCCGGGATTCCATGAACTGTAAAGAGAGTTTGTCTATCTGGTGCTAGATATTTGGAACTTGGAAGTGGACGTTATCAAAATTCAAAACTTCACCCTTTTCTTGGGCAACCTGTCTAGTGAAACTTCATCAAGGCTGTTTATGCTCTCAAGCCTTTTTTTTATGCAGCAGACCATGCAGACTTTTATTAGTCTCTTTGAATGGGCAGGGATGCTAGTATCTTAGAGATTTTAGGTTAATTGTAGTTATTTTTTTTATGGGAGAGATATTAAATTGATCCAAAAACTCGTCAATTTTCATGTAGGCATTAACTTTATCATTCCCTGATTACCTTTCCCTTACAAATATCTGTTAAGGAATATAAATACTTTTGGTAAAGTGAGAAATGAAAATGTCTGCTGTATTCTGAAGTTCAATATCAAATAACAAGGCTAGAGGTGTCCTTAAAGGTATTAAGATGCGTATAACTGTATTATTATTAATAATATACTGGTTATTATCACAATTAGCATAATAATAATCGTAACAATTACAAGTTTCCTTTTAAAAAAAATCTGCATTGTCCGAAGTTTTATTCTGGACTTCCTCACGTGCTGCTAGACATCTTTTTAAGGTATTTCTGCTTGCTATATGCCTAAATTTTTTTTCCTTGTTTTGTTGCAGCATAGTCATGTTCTTGTCTGACATGTCAGGAAGAGAACCTCTGTACAAGAAGTATGTAAATCTTCCAGTATGCCTAAAATACTTGGATTTTCGAAAGTCATTTGCTGTCTGTTTCTCCTGAACTGCTTGTTTTTGTCATTTGTTTCCGGTCCCAGGGCATTTGTATTTTTCTGCCAACCTGTTCCGAAGGAATTAGTTAATCACATCAAGAGCGATATGAGCGTGGTACCCCGTATAGGTGCTTTAAGAGAGGTAAGGGGCGTTTTTTTAACTCATGTATTAAAACAATCTGAGTGTCATTCAATCATTCATTAATGGTCTTTTACTCCTTCATTCATGTTGCAGATGAATTTGGAATTCTTCCCGGTGGATAGCCAGGTAAAAATGAATATCTTTCATGCTCTGCTACTCCTGAGTCCCGACACTACAATTTTCTTGCCATAATAATGTTTGACAGACATCTGACTCTCTATATACATAAGGATACTTGGCGGTGGTCCTTGAAATATATAAGAAAACAGAAGAAACTTTATGTGTTTATGTGAGATACTTTTAACGAGCTCGACACTATTGAAGATCTGAGTTACATAGGCTCCATGTATCAATCATTAAATACTTGGAAAACTTCCTTTGTATTATTGCATGCTAAACAAATTTTAAGTCGACCAACACTTAGCCAATTGGAGGGGGCTGGGTGGCAGGGGTGGGGAGGAGGAATGTAATGTTTGTGACGATATATGATTTTGTTAACCTTCTTTTCAATTTATCTATCTGACATTTATTCAGGTTAATGTTTTAATGTCATCTTACCTTTAAACATCTTGCTGTCTTTTTGCTTGCCTCTGCAATGTTAATGCCAGAGAGTTTTTTTTATTCATCCAGATGCTATTGATACAGGTGTTTGTTACTGAACATGATTCAGCTTTGGAGGATTTTATTGGAGAAAATTCGCAAAATACCCGGAAATTTGATGCTTGTATGAATTCATTAGCAGTCCGCATTGCAACTGTCTTTGCTTCATTAAAGGTACATGTTAACGGGGTATGCCTCATGTTTTCTTCATGCATTCCTCTTTTCCAAGTTGAACAGTATCATTGGAAGCTTTGGTGCAAATCTCAATTAGTTATTTGCTATCTAAATTATTTGAAGGCTTTAGATCTGTTTCATGTATATCCCTATTTACAAGTGAAATATGTGTTTTCTATAATACCTTGATGAACTCATTGACTGGATTTTAGGAACTAGTTGAGCCTTAAGATTAAATCACAACGTCAAGACTTAGTTTATCAGCTGTTAGTTTCTTATCCAGATGTTTATATATTTTTTTGGTAGATGATTGAAAAACTAATAAAGATCCGACCAGGCGACAAACATGATGTGAAGCAGATTTAATTTATGACAAGTTCTTACCAGGGCTTTGTATCTGAAAACTTCTTGGAAAGAAATAACCTGGATATTAGAGGCTACAGAGTATAGACTAACCATAGACATTACTGTTACTCTTATACACTAATCATCTGACAGTACCCGTGTCGACATGCATCAGATACCTTTAATATATAAAGATACTTTTTTTTTTTGAAAGATAATAGATAAAGATACTTGAGCGTAATTACAGTATAGGAATTATGGAAATGTTTCTCATCTCTGTTGGATACTTCCTGCGAGTTTGATGCATGAGTCTGAGCAACATAAGTATGTATTGCATCATGCAAGACAAGGATGAACTTAAGTGCACAAGACAGACAGTCTTTACTTACCGGATACCAATGAAATTTATTTCTCTAAGTGTTTCAGTTCCTGTTCCTCGCAAATCGAATTTGGCAATATAATGTAGTTGAATGAGTGGCATAATATTTTTGCAATGATTGTATTTTTTATAATTCGGTGTTTAGAGAATAAATTTGGTGACCTCCATTTTTACTTTAAAGGATCATTTATCATATCTTCATCTAATTAGTAACTCCTGGTGTGTAGTCAATTATATAACTTCTCATCATGTTATGGAATCAGATTTAATATCTATTATTGTTTCCTGATTGACATAATGCAGTTAGGAACTAAATATGTATTTTTGTAGGAGCTCCCCTATGTACGGTTTCAAACTGCAAAGGATCCTGATACAGCATCTTCACATGAATTAATACCCTCAAAGCTTGCTTCAGCAGTTTGGGACCGTCTGAAGTTATATAAATCCACAATTCCCAATTTTCCCCAAAAAGAAACATGCGAGTTACTTATCCTGGACAGAGGTGTTGATCAGGTTAGAGCTCTCACTGTATATCTTGTTGCATGCTCTAATATTTGTTACTTAGCATTTGAAATTTTTACATGCAGATTGCTCCAGTGATACATGAGTGGACGTATGATGCCATGTGTCATGACTTGCTGGAAATGGAAGGGGACAAATTGGTGCTTGAGGTTTGTCTTATAGTTCCTTACTTCATATTATTTTATGTTATTTTTTGCAAGTTTCATGGTGAACTTAATTTATGCTTTGTCATAGGTTACTAACAAAACAACTGGTCAGCCTGAGAAAAAGGAAGTTCTTTTGGTAGACAGTGATCCTGTATGGCTAGAAATCCGCCATTTGCATATTGCAGAAGTACGTTTCCTGGACTGACATTTTGTTTACCAAATTGAGTTGTTAAATCTCAGGACAGTTTAATTAACCATTTAATATCCCAGGCTAGTGAACGGCTGCATGACAAAATGACCAACTTCGCATCAAAGAACAAAGCTGCAACACTGAGTCAAGCCTCAAGGTTATTTAAATATTGTTGATGCCTTGTTGCTCTTGGAGTATTCTCTTACATACTGTTAAATGATCTGCAAACTTATCTTCTTGTTTTATGGTTATTATCTGCTATTGGAGCATAACCTTCATCATGTTCGGTTACTTGGTGCTATTTCTTTTGGTGTGTGTTGAGTTTGAGTTTTTGTAAGTAAATTAATGCTTATGTGTTCGTGATATAAATTTATAAATACCCACCAAAAAAGCGAAAAGAAAAGCACTCATCCATAATGGTTTTTGCCAATCAATTTTTGGTTGATTGGCTAAGCTGTCATCCAAGAACTCACCAAAAATAAAGAGGACATGACTGGAAAAAAATTTATTGTATGCATTTATCTGTTTTACTTGAGTGCCCAAAACATGTATCTTGGCTCAACTACTGCAATGTCTGCTGATATTCATGGTTGAGAAAGTACAACACTTTTTATTTTGCTTGGCCTTTTTCTGGTGCACCTTTATTACTTCGTCTTATGTCCTATAGATTGAGGTTTATAATCCACGTCATGATTTATTGTCTTTCAAAATCTTGAATTTGAACAAGTCACTGCTGTTAAATTTCATCAAGAATTCACATAGATTATTGACTTTATGTAGAGATGGAGCAGAGCTTTCTACACGAGATTTGCAAAAGATGGTTCAAGCTTTGCCACAGTACACTGAACAAATGGAGAAACTTTCTTTGCATGTTGAGGTTAGTTTTAAATTGCAAGCCTAGTGTGTTCAAAGCTGAATTACTCTCTAGAAAACTGTTTACTCCAAAGTTTTAAACGTCAATCACAGAAATGGTAACTATCTAATCAATGCAACAGTAGACCCCTTCAGTCAAGATGCAAGATTAATACAGTGATTTGATTTATGCTTGAAAGGTATAGTAGGCCTTGTAGACAATTAAGGACTTTGTGAAGCTTAAGCTATTTCAACAAAGTTATTAATTATTCACATGAATCTAAGATTGAGCATTTCATTACTTGTGGATTGTGCATAACCCAATTAGAAATGAAAATTTATACTTTCTAGTTGCTAGAAAAGAGATTCTAGTAGTCATGGTGCAAAAGTTGTCAGTATTTCATAGCTGATTGAGAACGTATAGATACAGCAGGAGAACTCCCAGTGTTATGCATAATGATCTACTAGAGTTTGTGTGCTTCTAACTGATGTTATTTTTGGTGCAGATTGCTGGAAAAATAAATCAAATTATAAGAGATATGGGGCTTCGAGAACTTGGGCAGCTGGAACAGGATATAGTCTTTGGAGATGCAGGAACGAAGGAGATCATCACCTTTTTAAGGGCACATCAGGTTTTATATGCACCTGTGCTTGAATAGTAGAATCTGCATAACAAATGGCGTATATAGTTCTTGTATAACCTTTTCCTTTTTTGATGCTTTCACTTTATCCAGGATGCTTCTTCTGAGAATAAACTGCGGTTGTTGATGATTTATGCATGCGTGCACCCTGATAAATTTGAAGGAGACAAGGCCTCAAAGATAATGCAGGTAGGAGGAGAACTCCAATTGCATCATACCAGTTGCTTCTTATATAGTTGCTTTTATATAAGCAATGATAAAAATAATGACAATTAATAAACATTATTTGCTTTGTTGCAGTTAGCCAAGTTGTCGGCAGAGGATGTGAAGGCTGTAAAAAATATGAGACTGCTTGCTGGATCATCAATCATTAAGAAGAAAACAAGTGGAAGTTTCTCTCTAACATTTGATGGTCAGAGGGTAATATGAGTGGAATTTTGACTTCTTACAAGAATTATTCAACTGACTTGCGTTGGTTCTATCTATGTTAACTGTTCTTTCTTTTTCCTTATCTATCCATCACCAGAAGAAAATTGCTGCTAGAAAAGATAGAACCAATTCAGAGGAGGAAACTTGGGCATTATCCAAATTTTATCCTATTCTAGAGGTAGTTTATTTACTTTTTTTTTTAAAGCACACTTTTGTCAAATTCATTTTACTTTTGTCAAATTTTAAATTAATCAAATTTTAAAGCACACTTTTGTCAAATTCATTTTACTTTTTTTTCATCAAGTAGCTTGAATGTGCCACTTTTAATACCTTCTTGACAGTAAATGCTTATCAAATGGAAATATGGAATAGGAGTATGTTGGATATGTTTCTTTGGGAATTGATCCCTTTTAATCATCTCTTCCATAGCAAATTGATCATCTACTTCTGAACAAAACTATGGCATCAACCTGACTATATTGGATGCAGACCATATAGTGCTTTGATTTTCCATCTATCTGCTCTTTGGTCTGTTGTAATTCATCAAAGCTTTGTTACACACTCTCTCTCTCTCTCACACACACACACTCACACACTCAGATGAACGCTCAATATCCACGCATGATAATACACCATAAGATATTTTGGGACCAATGATATGCAAATGTTTCACTGTGATGACTTAGTTTGACACCAGGGTTTATACTGTAGTTCAGCACTTGTACTTGAGTCTGACTACTGTAATAAAAAGCTTATTAACCACAATCTTCGTCATTGCATTTCATGCATACTAAAGATAAATGCATTAAACAAATACTCTATTTTATGGGTTGAACCTCATATGTTTGAATCATGTAGCAATTTATGCTTACAAAGTTGGATAAAAGAACTCCTCTTCATTATTCTTCAGGAACCTTGAGAAAATTAAAGAACTTTTTGAAATTTTCCAGGAACTCCTAGAGAATGTGCACAAAGGTGAGTTGTCAAAGAATGATTATCAATACATTAATGAGCCAACTCCAATCAACAGAGAACGCAATCAAACTCAGAGTGTTTCTGCCAGCACAACCACGACAACTGGTCCACGTTCGATGAGGTCAAGACGAACTGCAACATGGGCTCGCCCTCATAGTTCTGAAGATGGAAGCGGGTACTGCAGTTTTCATCATTCTACAAGCTCTATTTTTAGCTTAGGACCATGAGAGATAGAAGCAATCAGATTTTATTGATTGTAGTCTTAATTTCTGTAAATTTTTTGGTCCTTTCAGTGACTCGGTATTGAGAAATTCGCCCAATGATTTTAAGATGATGGGATCACGTATTTTCATATTTATCCTTGGAGGAGCTACTAGATCTGAGGTAAAATTCTTGGCTTCTTGCTTCTGGTACATTGTAATCGTTGGACTTGATTCATTTCCTGAAGATCTTTTATCACATTTTACTCAGATACGAACTTGTTACAAACTCACTACAAAACTTAGGAGGGAAATTGTACTTGGTGCAACGAGTATAGATGATCCTCCAAAATATATTACGGTACATATCACTTGCATCTATCTTTTGGACACATGCATAATATTGATGTATGTTATTTAAGAAGACTCTCTTGAGCTTCCCTTGGTTTATCCTGAATTTTAAATACTTTGACAGCCCAGTCTATAGGGAACATGCAAGTATTTATGCCTTTATGGTAATGCTTGTTCCCCCCACCCCCACCCCCCACCTCCTCCCAAATGTTTGTCTCTACCCAATTTAACCAATGTAAAATCTACCATGTGAAAGACCTTTTATGTTTTTAGTATCTTATTAAAAGTTTCATAATTCAAGTTTGTAAATCTCCAATTCAAAAGCCTCATGTTATCCTTATATACTTCCCCCGTCAGGCTATAATTTTGAAATACTTCTTTGAGATATTGAGATGTCTGGTAAAAGATCTTACTTTTACTTCAGATTGTGGGGAGATTGAGGGTAATGGGAATGGTCCAATAATAAGAGGCTTTATTGTAGAGAAATCATGTCTTAATTACAAGGATTTGAGAAAATTTAATTGTTTTGGATGATGGAGTATTTGTTTGAGCAATTGTCTCCCTTCTGTTCGACCCTTTACAGTTTCTTCATTGCTTTGCCATTGTTACTTGTTAATGCTCTCGCTAATCTGTTGATTATAAATGTTTAAATACAGCCATCTTGGTTCTCTGAAGAACTCTCCTCCCTCATTAAAAAAAACTTCCTAAATTGATGTTGCATTAAGCTTTCAAGACATGCAAAATTCAACAGCTGCAGTCTCACTAATCACACATTGATTTGTTTTTTTTTTTTTTTCAAATCATTTTCAGTAGCTTATGTTTCTTTTTTTTTTTTTTTTTCCCTGCAGAAGCTCAAGCAATTCACAGGAAAAGGTCTCTCTCTAGACGGCCTTAGAATTTGAGCACCTTCCTTCAGCAGTTTCAAGAAGCGACAAAGATGCTTATGTTATGAATGATCATCAATATATTGTAGCCATTTTGTTCTGCTGCTTTCCTCCAGCAACTGTAAAAAGCAGTTCTTACAGCATAATAGCTGCTGCATCAACACTGTAGAGGCTGATTTTCAGATTAGCACAGGTAGAGACTAAGGATGTTAATTCTTTCTAATATTCTCTCTTCCATTTTAGTGGAAGTAAAGTACATCAGGTATTAGAAAAAATCAACATACTAGTGATGTTAAAGAACTACACTAACATTCATTGTAAGGAAATAGTAGGCAACTTTATTAGAAAAGTGTTGTAAAACAGTATTACAATATTACATCATCAAAAATCTGTCTCTCAGGATCACTTAATTAAGAGTGCCAGAGATCAAAACATTTTTGCAGCTGTGTATTTAACTGGTATTTTTAAAGCATGTCTATTTATCTATAAACTTTATGGTGTTAAGTTGTTATCACAACAGTAAATCAGTTCACTAACAGCACACCCAATCCAACAGCAAATATGTACTGTATTATTTCAAATATATCAAAAGCATCAAGTAGAATAAACTTTCAGACACACAATTCAATATTGACACACCAAGCTTGCCTGTAGAGATGATGGGGGAATTCACCTTAAGATATGTATAAAGCAAACACATTGGTCAAAGTTGTGTATGCGAATAGTGCAAAAGTCAATCTAGAACACTTAAATAAAAGACAGAAGTAGTACAAGACTACTCCCTTCATCCCTTTTTTTTGCACCATTTGACTCAAAAAGTTCTCACATAAAGTTGGTCCATGGTGCAAACAAAAAGGGATTGAGGGAGTATGAACTATAGTGGTGTACCAACACCAAACGGAGTTCCTTGCAATTATGAGGGGTTGTCAATAGCGCTAAATGGTGATCTTAGCAAGGTCTATTGCCGGTTGAGTCAAATGTTGTAATCCGTATGTAGACGAGTCTTACGCACATAACTCCTCCCTTTACATTCACTTAATCCAAAAGTGTAAATCCTTAATTGTTAAACATGAATAAAACATGGATGTGAAGTCACAATTAGGTATTACTATTGAGAAACTAATAGGGTTGATTAATTAGATAAGCTTATCATCATTAAGACAATCCAGAAAAAATTTCAGGTCATTTTATTATATGACCTGAGTTGAGTAACTTACCTTATTTGAAAATTAAAATTTCATGGTTTACTTATCGTAGTTTACTTAATTTTACGTTGATAAAGAGTAACGGAGTAGTGAAGTTTTTTTTCCTTCTTGTTTTACCTAAAACTTTCATTTGATTCACCAAAAAAATTGCAAACGTGGTAATATGTGTTCTTTAACAGCCAATCAACAAGCACCATGTGGAAACTCTAGAAAAGCAACGCCACGTGGTAATCAAGTTATTTACGAAGGGAGTACTTATTTACCAAATTAGACATTTACTAATCACTCTCACGACACCATACCAGTGTAACGCTTAAATCGACGAACTCACCGCCATTTTTATCATTTTCTCCGACCTTCAAATACCAACACTCAAACATCCCGGCGAACTAGGGTTTTTCTCCGGCGATCTTCTACCTTTGCCGACAAAATATCGCCGGGAAATATGGATCCCTTACTCCCGGTCATACTCCTATCATTGATTCTCGGAGCAATCATCTCGTTTCTCATCTTCGGAAATTATTTCAGGAAGCAGAAATCCGAAGTTGAATCACTTGCGAAAGGCGAGCCTGTTAATGATGCGATTTCTAAGAAGCCTTCGAAACCTACTGCTTCCAAAAAATCTCAATTTAAGCATCATTCTCATGCTTCTGATAAGGTAATTTCTAGGTTATTTTGATTTTATTTTTGTGTTGTTTGATTTTGCCTTAGTTTGATTGTATGTTGTTTGATTCAGAAATGTGATTGAATTTGTGCAGGAGCAAAACAAGAAGCATCATCCATTGGATTTGAACACGTTGAAAGGTCATGGTGATTCGGTTGGTGGTCTGTCTTTTTCATCAGACGGAAAAAATTTGGTCACAGGTTATAATTGATTCTTAAACTTTAATTTTTTTATCTCTCGAATGATTTTGGTTTTTACTTTGATTTGCTTGATGTTTTTCTCGGGAGTTTCATCTGTTGGATAATGGATTGCATTGAACTCGAATAGTTGTGAATTGCGGTTTGGATATTGTGCAGTTTTAGTAGCATTGGATACAAATTGCAGTTTTATTGTTGATGAATAATGTGTTTGGATAATGATAATGCAAATTGATGATGTAAAGAAATTTTAGGAACATATATTCATACTTTGTGCATGAAAACAATTTGCTGAAAGTTTGTCCTTTTTGCTGTACAATTATACTTAGAGATGGAAGGAATTCTAATATCTACAAGCATTGAGATTGTTGATTATGTTTTCTATTTGTTTGACATTTCATTAAGCTTACTTAGATACTGATTCAGCTTAATTAGATACTGATTCAGCTTCGGGATTATAGAATTCAATTGGGTTGTAGTGCCCATGTAATGCTCCTTAAGGCTGTGGAATGACGCTTCTTTCCCTATTAACCCTTATTTTAAGTATATGGCTGTGCCCTTATTTGTTGTTTGCAATTCAAGTTTCATCACTAGAAAAAGGAAAGTAGACCATGATTAATCAACTGCCACTGTCTTTACTCTTCAAATCTGTCCTCAGATAGTATTGCTTACTCTTTTATTTTCCCCGTACTCTTAACTTCTTTTAGTTAGCCCTGCTTAGTTTCCCTCTTTGTGAATTAACCTTCATTAATCTTCACATATAGTTTTTCTAGTGTTTCTAGACAGTTCCTCTCCTTAAGTATTCGTTTAATTTGCCAATATTAAGCATAATAACATACCTACAATTCTATTATGTCCTGTTAGGGAATCAACATTTCATTTCAAATGCTGAATTTGGCTCATTTGAGCTGTTTGGGGATAATTTGGAATGGATTATGCTCAATTCCACTCTTATTTAAATAAGCCTAAAACTAGGATTTGGAAAGTCATCTTAAATTGTCGTCATTTTCAAATTCCATCTATCATCTCATGGTTATTCCCAATTTTCCCTATTCATATGACTAGTAGAGTAAGAATTGAGTGTTCCACTTGCGTGCAATGGCTGTGATCTTACCAAGTTTATAAAAGAAAATAACTCAGTTTTTGCAATGTTTGATTTTTGTTTGTTCTTCTGCAGCCTGTGCAGATGGTGTGGTCCGAGTTTTTAGGCTGGATGATATTTCAAATAAAAGTTTCAAGTATGTGTCCATAAATTATTTTTTATCCCCAGATGGTTGCTATAAAGATTATTGCGGGGGCTTGAAGTTGGTAATAATTTTTATTTATTTATTTATATATTTTTTTTTTCATGCAGATTCTTGCGTATTAATATGCCAGCTGGAAACCATCCAACAGCTGTTGCTTTCTTAGAGGATGATTCATCAATCGTAGTAGCTACTCAAAATCTTTTGGGATCGTCAATTTATATGTACGCAGAAGAGCATGCTAAACCTTCGAGTGAAAGTAAACAACAAGCGAAGCTTCCTCTTCCTGAAATCAAATGGGAACATCACAAAATCCATGACAAAAATGCAATATTGAATATTTTTGGGGCTAATGCAAGATATGGCAGTGCTGATGGAAGCACTGTTATAGCTTCCTGCTCCGAAGGTATATATCTGATGATGATGTTATAATTTAACCATATCATCACGTGTCCTGATTATTGATAAAAAATACTATTGCTTTTATTACTATTCATATAATGAGGTGTGTGGAGGTAAAGATGTCTTATTCCTAAGTACCCTGTCTAGACTAGTTGAGAGGTTGTTCAATGAGGTATGCCGTATAAACTTTTTTGATGATAAGAATTAATAAATTTAGAAACATGACAAGCTATGATAGTATTGTGTGTTATAAAATTATAAATCTTTATAAAATCTATGGATATCTCAATATGGAGAGATGTGGATATGATTCTTGCCAACCCATCCTTTTGGGAATAAGGCTTTGGTTTAGTTGTTGTTAAGATAGTAATGCAAGCAAGTGCAACAAATTAAAACCTCTTAAATTTCTCTAGCTCTCTTAACTTTATTTATAAGAGATACATTGCTGCTCTTTTACAGATTTAATGATTTAATCTCATTGATAAACCTTGTGATGTGATTGTGCCACTAGTCCAAGATTAGTGTTCATTATATGGTTTAAGTCTGTGTGTCAAATTTGAGAACTGTCAGTCCCACACTAGAATTTTGTTAAGAAGAACAGAAAGTCCAGCGTTTAAAAGATTTAAAATAATGTTGTAATTAGGAAAAAATTATTATCCTTTCTTCTTCTTCTGCCTCTCTTTTTTTTTTTTTTTTTTTTTTGTATATTGATGTTAGGAACATGTTGAAAAACTAGGAAGCTCTCTCTCTCTCTGTAATGTAATTAGGGTCAAATTGGTTTGATTAGCTGAAGTGTCTAGAAGTTTGTGCTTTAACTCTTATTAATTACTGAATTCTCCTTATCTCTCTACTTCTCTTTTCTTCATCTTCTGCAATTTTTCTGTTTATCAAGGTTATGGTTAGAGCTGGTCTTCATCTTGGTCCCTCTCCCTCTGATTGTCTTGGGAATAAATTCTATTTGTTTTTCATTGAATTTCTCTGTTATAGAGATACTAACTCCTCCTCAATGCATGTTTTCAGCAACTGAGATTAAGCTTTGGCATGGAAAATCCGGAAAGCTATTGGGAACAGTTGATACTAATCAACTTAAAAACCACATGGCTTCATTATCACCAAATGGACGTTTTATGGCAGCTGCAGCATTTACTGCTGATGTGAAGGTGTGTGGTTTATTAATATGCATAATAGCATTATACGACTTCCATTGATAATTATCATTGTACTAGCATTTGTAGGTTAATGCATTTTTATGTTTCCCTTCATAGGGTCATCAGCAGCAGTTTGTCTTGCTTACTTTCTGCTATATAAGTATTGAATTAAAATTAGGTTGTTCTGTTATCTGTGTTTTAAATGCACTCAACATTTATTATAGACCGTTGCCCTACTAAATTAGCCATCATAACCCTTTTAAAGAACATTTAGCGTATTGACACAATCAAATTTACATATAAGAAATATTATACTCGTTTTTTAGTGACTATAGATCAAGAGATGTATTGTATACCTCTTATTTCTATGATGCAAAAGGTTTTTTTAAGCTAAAATTAAAGAATTGTTTTATAACCTTCACGTTAATAAAGTTAATCTTTGCAACGTGTCTATCACACCGGGATGGCCGTGAAGCATGTTGTAATTTTGTAACACAAAGCCACGACTGCTAATGCAAATGTGATGGTGTTTTGTTAAACAATATTTAAAAAAGAATAAATATATGTGTTCTCTACAGGCACTAACACGTATATGTTTATGTATAGCCAGTTGGCAGCTTGGCACTAATTCACTTGTTTTGTACATCATTTTCTTTATTTTAAAATTTAATTCATTGATCTTATATTGCAATTGCATTATGCAAAAGAAATATGGGGGGTTCATAGTACATTTTCAATGTTAAAATTGCACCCTTTTTTTTTCCTTCTATTATGGTGCTATTTATTTTGCTTACTTTTATTGCACTTTGGCATTATTTAGTTTCTGGTCTAATCTGCCTGATCTCAAGCTCCACTATCCGAGGTTTTTGTCTGAGGATCTATTCGAATTTTTTTTGCAGATTTGGGAAATTATTTACTCAAAGGATGGTTTTGTTAAGGAGGTTAACAAGGCTATGCAACTCAAGGGACACAAGGTTACTCATCATCTTTGCTTTCATACTCATTGTTTACATGACTTTACTGATTATATTGTATATCCTTTGCATTAAAGTTGACTGGGCCAATTTAGTTGGATATTTTCTAATTACATGCATATTTTTGGGAAATTACACATGAGTCCATTGTGTAGATATTATTATTCAGTAATTCATGGTGCTTAAAGTGTCCAAGTTTCATCTGTTAAAATTACTTTCTGTTGATTTTGGCTTTGGAGATATAGTCCCGTATATGTCATGAACCATGTATTGCATGTATTGGCTAAATCTTTTTATTTGCTTATGCAATTCTCATTAGCAATCATTGGTTATTGGGAGTAACTTTTTTTGTTTTTAATAAAGTATAGCAATCATTTGTTGTATTTCATACATGAAACAACTGTGTCCTTTTGCTTACTTTCTTACATCTTTTATGTTCACAGAGTGCAGTAACCTGCCTATGCTTTACAGCAAATTCAGATCAAATTATAACTGCATCCAAGGATGGCACCTTAAAAGTATGGAATATTAATGGTATGTGTTTTCCTTTTCTCCGAATCATAAAGATAGCATATTTAATCACTACTTCACTAGTAAAACCATTTACTTTAATTCATCTGAGAATTGTCCCTTTTTGCTTAGTAATGAGCTGGAACAAGTTATCCACTAGACCACTACATTCCAATGTGCCATTTCATATTAACAGTGAATTTAATTTAGTTTATGTGGACATGAAAATAAAGAAACATGAATATGTGATGTGTATTGTGTAAAGTAATTCAAAGTTTGTGAATGATAATATTTAGTGTCATGGATGGAACTTATTTTTGAGGCAAGAATATAAGAATAGATGTTTGATTTAATTTTTATTTTATACTCCTGCTATACTTGTTTTCATTGGACTCAATAATATTTTATCTGTTATTGCAGTTCGCTATCATATGGATGAGGACCCCAAGATTCTAAGAGGATTTCCAATTCCTCTTCATGATTCAAAAGGAGCAACTTTGCATTATGTTCATCTTAGTTTATCTCCTGATGGAAAGATACTTGCTGCTACTCATGGTTCTACGTTGCAATGGCTATGTTCTGAGACTGGAAAGGTTTTGGATATTGCTGAGAATGCTCATGACGGTAAGTCCTTTCTTCAGGGAAGAGATGCAGGTTACGCAAAAGTAAAGCATGAGAATCTCTTTCATTGAAATATGAAATTTACTTCGTATATTATAGGACTGTTGATGTTCACGTCTTTAAAAAGCGATTTAAGTAGACAATATTTTATATGGTCATATATTCCAACTTCCAAGTCTACATTAACCTACAAGTTTCTTTTGCTGCTCAAATGAATGCTTACTATATGTTCCTTGTTATTTTAGATCATCATTACTTTTGGAATAATGAAAGCCATCTTGCTACTCTTCCATCGTCTATTTTGATTTTGGGACTTCTGAACCTAGTCTCTAAAATAATTCATTATAAAGTTTGATTGGGATTCCATCAAAAGTTAAGAGATTCTGCTGCAGTGTACCCACTGGATGTTCCTGGAAGATGACTCGGCTATCCTTATTGACTCATTATTTAAGGACGTGAATTCCTTGTTTTACTTGCCTTTTCCCCATTCCTTTTTCTATGTGTAGCCATCAATTTCTTGTTTTGCTTGTCCACTTGCCCTTGCTCCATTGACTCATTTTTTGCTTGGTTAGTTCACTTTTAGATGATGTAATAGATAATTCTAAGGTTTTCAGCTCTTGTTCCTCATATATGCTTTTGTGCTACATGTAGGGATTTAGGATTACTCTATGTTCATTTTATAGCTGTATTGTGTGACAAATATTTTAGCTAATTAGTAGCAAAATGATATGTATCTTTGCATAGCATTCTTAAATAATTTGTATACAAGGTAGAAATATCCTTGGACGAATGACTATAGCACTTCTCAAGCTACTTACCCTTGTGCTCTTTTTCTTGTCCATAAGCCATATGCAACTCTCTTCACTTGTCTCTTGAGATATTCATTGACAATCTTATTAGATTTACATTTGGAAAAATATATATCCCTTCCCATTCTCATAGTCTCGCTGGCTGAGGATATTAATGCTCATGTATTACAAGTTGGATGTCCCATTGCCCCCCTTGTTCATGTATATTTCTTAACGCTAGTATCTCTTGTGCAAATTGCTGCTATTGCGTATTGTATTCTGATAAGCCACTTGTGCAAATTGCTGCTATTGTATTCTGCTCGAGGGTGATGTTATTAATATATTCTAGTGTTCTACTTTACGCATTGCCATGGTCTTGTTGGAGTTAAAAAGTATGGTGGCGCCATGGCAGTGTAAAATATACTTTTGTTATTTACTTTCTTCAATGTAGGTACCGGCAATCTATGTTTTTTGTCCGTAGTCATTTTTAATTATATTCCTTGCCCACTTCCCTAATCCATCCTACTTGTTGTGTCTCCACTCTCTAGTTTTCTTTTCCTTTTCTTATCTGTGTTTGAGTGTCCAGTGATCACATGGTCAAGTTTTATTTCATCGTTTTGATTGCGCGCCTTTATGAACTTAATTTATGAGAATCTTGCATGCAGGTGACATTACATGGATTACTTGGGCACCTAAGGCCCTTCCTGTTGGTAAATTTCATAATTTGAATTCTTTTTTTAACTCCATTCCAACGATTACGGGAGTGGGTAACTGTGTTAGTTATGTTGAGGATGATGTTTGGTTCTTGGAATTAATTCCCTTCTTTCCTCTTTTTTCAGGGAATTCTAAATCCTTCATTTTGGGGTCATCTGGAGTTGACAAGAAAGTTAAATTATGGTTGGCACCTTTTATTTCTTCATCATGAATAAGTCACATGGTATGGCGTTGATGGCTGGAAAAGCATCACTGCCGTTTCTTCAAAAATTCTGCGATTTTGTAGTTTACAAAGTATTATAACAATTGATCAAACAGTATTATAACAATTGTTATTGTAATTAGTTGTTGGGCTTTAATATGAGTTACATTGTTCAACTTAATTACTATCTCTGTTTTTGAAAATTCGACTCACTTACTAATCATGTATTTAAAATATATTAACTTTGTATACGATAGAAATGTGGGATTTTATAAGATTTTCTTATTATTACCTTGTTTTTCTTAAGTTTTACCTTTAAAATTTTGACCATGTCTAATTGTTTATATATAAGAAAAAAACATTATCAAATTGAATTTTATTAGATTCATATTATTATGAATTAATAATAAAAATCGTGCAAATATAAGGTGAGCTGAACTTTTAAGAATCGTTTGTATCTACTGAAATGAACCAAAGCATCAGAGAACTTAAAAAATAGTATTATTTTATTTTTATTTAATTGTCCAGTTTATTTGTCAATATACAACTTTGACTAATGATATCTTTAATTATCAACAATTTAAAAATTATGTTTTTAGATAATTCTAACAAGTACTCATAGGGATAAAACAGAGTGATGCTCATTAACTTATAGAATCAAAAATATTGACGATAGCGAAAGTGCACTAGATGTTTGCTTGTATACGGCAATAAGTACAGGTGAATAGTTCAACACCGAAGAGAGATAAGCGAATTTAAAATATAAACATACAAAAATGTTTTCAAACAAAAATTAAAAAATGAAAAAAAATATCTTGAAACTAACATTTTATAATGGTAAAAAGTTAGTATAAATAATAGACTTAACTAATATTTTAAAGTAGTAAAAAAATAATATAAATTATAAACTTTTTTTTTATCGTAATATAAATTAGAATGCAAAAAACTTAAAATCAAGTTAACTGAAATTAACATAATCGATTTTGTATAATTTGTTAAATCATAATTATTTCACGAATTTGTTATTACACATATATTATACTTTTCGATATAATTCGGTTTCAACTTGGTATAGATATTGTATAGATACTTCTACCTTAAGATGAATATATATCATAGTAATGTTTCTATTGTAGGTTGTAATAATGTACTCTAATATTCAATGTATGTTTTAGGGAGTCTATAAATCTTAAATTTCTTACCTGTGGAAGATGAAATTTTCGAGGCTGTCATTTTTTTGTTCTTGGACTCGTGGTTGAGCAGCAGCCCATGCTGATGAATTGATGTTAGCGATCTTTCTTGATCTTTTTCACTGATTTCAGATAATGAGCCCAACCAACCTGATTATCAATTAATAATATGTAATTAACAATTTATAATAATTAAATTATTAATTCACATATTTAAAAAAAAAAAGGAAAATTTTCCAAGAATAATACCACCTTTCGGCCATCTTCTAAAAATGGAACCACCTTTAATTTATCTCAAAATAATACGACCTTGACATAGATATGCCAAAAACGGAACATAACCGGTTGGTAACCTATTCCAACGGTTTTTTATTAGTCAAAAAAAATTTAATAATTTTTTTAAACAAAAACTTAAAATTTAAAAAATAAAATAAAATCCTTAAACAAAAAACTCAAATCCAGCCCCTCCCCACCAAACCACCTACCCTCCACCGGAATCCACTAGTGGCCAAACGCCTATTCCCATTTTCGGTCGACCGACCACCTCCCCACCCCCAATTCTGTCCCCACTTCCCTAACATGCCCCCGAAATTCCGGCAGCCTCCCACCTCGATCATGCCTGAAACCATCAATATAAGCCCCAAAACTCCCCCAACACTACCGAAACCACACCAGTAGCCCCTGCAAACCACTTGGCGTCCCTCGAAAATAACTCACAACCAACTAAAACCCACCTAACCTATTCCCTAACACCTACAAACCACCCGCAATCTGAGGTATGGGTTCTAGGTTTGCCTTGAGGTTCGACGGTTTTTGGGGCAGGGTCTTGAGGCTCGCCGACGGTTTGTTAGTCCTAAGGTGGGGCAATGTCTAAAGGATCACCAATCTTGAATTTCGCCGGTAGGAGGCCTAAACGGCAAGGGGAGAGGATTTTTTTTATTATTAATTTTAGTTCTTTTTTTAAAAAAAAAAAAGATTAAAATCATTATTATTAAAGAAAATGTTAAAATGAAAAAAGAAAAAAGAAAATATAGCTAATCACAATGTGACACGTGTCCAATGTAACTTACAAATCAGGTTGCCGGTTTTTTGTTCCATTCTTTGAAGATTGGTGTCAAAGGTCGTGTTATTTTGAGATAAATCAAAGGTGGTTCTATTATTGGAAGATGGCTGAAAGGTGGTATTATTCTTGGCAAATTTCCAAAAAAAAAAAGACGACATATAGTCATTGTAATCCTGCAATGTAGACGTGGAGGTGCCTGTTGGGATTTTGGAGGCCACGCCATAAATAGAAACCTGAATTGACAGGTATTATTAATTAAAAAAAGAGAATATATCACAAAATACTATATTACATAAATATGAATTAAAATTTTACTCGAATATGGGTGTCAATTGTCAAAGTCTGGGATTTGACATTTTTATAGAAAAAAGTTGAAGATTTTAATTAGTTAAATATGTACGGAGTAGTATCCAAGTGATGTGTTGTATCGGACAAATTAACGTATGACATGCGAATTTTGAGGTAAATGGGGTGTCAAAGTAACATAGATAAATCATATCATAACACAATTCATAGTACTTTTCTGAACAATTTGAGCAAAGTTAAAACAATTAAAAGTTAATTCTAATAGTCATTTACATGCAGTACGTATATTAAGGTTTTTACATGCAGTAATCCAAATAGCATTAATAATATTTATAATTATAGGTTGTAAGTTGCAGTCGAAACTTTGACCAAAATCTACTCCATAAATGATAAGATTACAACACAACGAAATTAATTAATACTAGGGGCTCAAAATCTAAAATAATTAGAGTTTTATCTAAAATCCAATCATTTCACATTGCCTTGGACTTTTGAATTAGATTATTTGACATCTCTTATTCTAACTAACTCTAGAAACATTAATTAATTAATTATCATTTCATACAGTTAAAACTATCAACAACTTCCATTAGTTTACTTTGATATAACTCAATTAGTGTTGTAGAAATCTTATTAAATAAAATAAAATAAAATAAAAGCATTCTAATTTCTAAAATAAAATTACCCACATTTGATACTTAACCCATATTCAAAAAGCCAGATTAACGGTATTTATTCAATCCATGACAACATGTGAAACTACAGTTATTAACAAGTTAATACACAAAGTGACAAAACAAGAGGGCCAAACTAATAAATAATCAGCAAATGAATAATTTAAGCGTGCAACAACATAACAATTAAACCCTATTTAACAATTACAACAACTACACCTATACAGTTTATCAATTATTAATTACTAAACAAAAAAATTAGGGTTTAGTAATTAGTTATTAGGGCAAATTAAACACTTAATGGTAAATTGAAGTCAAAGAAAAGTAAGACCTGGGTTTACATTAATATACTGTGCGGCGGGTTGATTAAGGAAATTAAAAGGTTTCGTTGTCTTTGGTCACACGCACGTGCCACTGCCACCTCATTAGATTCTTTATACTTGCATTACCTTTTTTATGTTAGGAAAATTTGCCAAAAAAAAAACCTTTTAAATGCCTTACTTTGCAAGAAAAAACTTTTTAAAAGGATCTTTATTAAAAAAAAAAATCACCACGATCACGTTTTTTGTTTAATGAAACCTAGGCCCTCTTTTCCGACATTGACTCTAACTTTCAGGCGTTGACTCATTACATTTCCTACTTGCAGCCTACAGTTGGGTAATTTTCCCTCCTTTTTTGTTTGGCTTCCTTATTTTCCCTCTATAAATATTCTAAGGTAAGCCTCTCCAAATTACTCCAACAAAAATTAGGGCAAATCTTCACCCAAATCAAATCAATTGAAAGGTAAATTAGGGTTCTTAATCTATTTCTTCAACAATTGTAGTAATGAATTCACCATTGTAGTGCTCCATCGTTCTTCTCTATTCTCTAATTCTTTTGTGGTTGTGCGTTCTTTTATTACTAATACCTCTGTTGTTGCTAATTTTGTATGTAAAATGGTGAATTGCGGATGTGGCTTTCCTTGTGCGAAGAGAACTCCCTGGACTCATGAAAACCTAGGAAGAAGGTTCGAGGCTTGCAAAAAGTACAACCACGACACTGGAGAACGAGGTTGCAACATGTTCAAATGGCTGGATGAGGAGCAAACGAAGTGGCAGCGTGAAGTGATTAATGTTCTACTTGCTGAGAGGCATAGGAGGGCAACCGAGTTAACTATTGTGAAGGCTAGGAATGCTTGCCTAGAAGATCACAACAACCTTCAAAGGGGGATGCAAAGAGGCTCCGTACTAGAGATACAACAGGGGGGTTTAAGCAAGTTGCCATATGTGTTGTTGGTGAAAATGTTTGGCTTGTTTGGGTAGGTTGCTAATTATGTGTCATGTAGATGATGTATGGTAGATTGCTAAGTAGTTGTTATGTTGATGATGTATGGTAGTTTATGTTGCTTATGGTTGATGTATTTTGGACCCTTTTGATGAAATAACAATGTAATCTAATTTGGTACATATTACTTATCATTGTTCCAAGTTTCATTACTGCAATTTGCAATTTGCAATTTAAATAATATTGTGATGATAATTGAAGTAAAAAGACTATGCAAATACATTGAAGCAAAAGGCCTATGTGAAAAGACTATATAAAAAGTAGAGCAATGAAGTTGGAAACATAATTAGCATAGCATATGATGCTTAAAACACCAGTACATAAATAGTTCCCAATATAACAGTTGTTACAAGCAAACATGCATCCTTAATCTAGTTGTTCTTAAATACAGTAGCATTTGAATAGTGTGATGATATTGTTCAAAAAATACATCACAAAGTGCTTGTCATTGTTTAATCAGCATGCTGGGTTCCATGTTGGGGTGCAGAAAGTGAGATGGATTGTTGTGAAGCTTGGGCAGCTTGACTGAGTTGATGTGATGATGTTGCTCCTGCTGCTTCCCCTGCTACTGGTGGCCCTATTTCTGCTTCCCTTACTGCTGTATTCTTTTTAGGTCTTCCAGGCT